ATTTCCCATGAAGTGATGGGACCAGATGCCATGATCTTAGTTTTCTGAATGTTGAGCTTTAAGCCAACTTTTTCACTCTCCTCTTTCACTTTCATCAAGAGGCTCTTTAGTTCTTCTTCACTTTCTGCCATAAGGGTGGTGTCATCTGCATATCTGAGGTTATTGATATTTCTCCCGGCAATCTTGATTCCAGCTTGTGCTTCTTCCAGCCCAGCATTTCTCATGATGTACTCTGCATATAAGTTAAATAAGCAGGGTGACAATATACAGCCTTGACGTACTCCTTTTCCTATTTGGAACCAGTCTGTTGTTCCATGTCCAGTTCTAACTGTTGCTTCCTGACCTGCATACAGGTTTCTCAAGAGGCAGGTCAGGTGGTCTGGTATTCCCATCTCTTTCAGAATTTTCCACAGTTTATTGTGATCCACACAGTCAAAGGCTTTGGCATAGTCAATAAAGCAGAAATAGATGTTTTTCTGGAACTCTCTTGCTTTTTTGATGATCCAGCGGTTGTTGGCAATTTGATCTCTGGTTCTTCTGACATGGTACATGGATTTATTTATATAGGTCTTCAGGAAAAGTATATATAAAAGAGTGTGTATGTGTCTATCACTGAGTCACTTTGCTGTACTGCAGAAATTAACAAATACTGTAAATCAACTACAATTAAAATAAAGAGGGGAAAGAAGATAAAAAATATTTGTTTTAAATTATTTCTAAACATATTTTTACCTTCTAGGATTTACAAAATCACTCAACTAATGGGAACAGTTGATACCAGTCAGGATTAAGAACTCACTTGTGGAGATTTTCGAGAAGAACATAGGAACCTGGGTTTATCTTCTCTGTGTGATTCATCCCTCAGTTTTTTGAACTAAATCCTTTGTGTAGTAATGGGATTTACTTTAATGTAATTCACAAGGTTTTGCCTTCTGACTAGAGTTGGTTAACTTCCTTTAGTCCCTACCTGGATTGTGGCTCATCTCTCTTTACTTTCTGCTTCGATTCAGCACACTTTATATTTTTCACTTTTTCTTTTTCGCTGTTAGGCTGTAGTCCTTAATTGACAGTATCCTCCACAGTGGTATCAAATATCTAATCCATTTAATTATTTCACTCTGACTTTCAGAGGAGCGATCTGGGAGGGAAAGGTAATACTTTGCAAGTTGTCTGTGTATGCTTGGCTCCTGAGAGACTGTAGAGGGAGATGAGAGCCCAGAAGGAACTGGAGCAGCTCCAGCATTTCATAATCAAGTAGACCAGGCAGGATCTTCTTTAGTGTTAACTCATTTTGTGCCCTCAATCTGAAATTCCTCTCTGTCCTCTCTGCTCATTTTAATGTTCACCTTTAAAGAACCAGTTTACACACCACTTCTCTGAGAAGCCTTCTTTTATTGATATATTCCCAGTTAATAGTACCTCTTGCCTTCCTGAAGAGCCTGTGTATTGTCTTGCTTTTTTCAATAACTGTTTGTTAATATGTCTTTCCTACTAGATTTATAGCTCTTTCATAGTAGATGGTGTATCTTCTATCCAAACAGCATCAAGCATATAACAGGAATTCTGCAAATATGGTTATATAAATAACCAGATCACACATGCAAACAGATGGTGGTAGTGTAGAAAAGAACAAGAAAGGCTTCAAGAAGGAGCTTGCATTTATGTAAGGGCATTAAAGGATGGATAGGATTTCCAGAAGCAGAAGAGAAGGAAAGGGTGTCCCATGTAGATAGAATAACATGATGACTTTTGGGCTAGGCCACAGGATAGCTATAGGTGGTAGATGTCAGGTGGCTTTGAAATTATGAGGGGCTTTAAATATGTCCCAACGAAGATTTGTTCAATAGTCAATGAGATTACTAAAGTAGGAGGGTAATTTGGGCAGAAAACAGTTCAGACAATGTATGACATCGTGTATTGGGTAGTTTGGGGTGGGGGTAGGCCCTTGTGGTAAGACCAGTTAGGGTGCCATGGCATTAGACCAGGCAGGAGCCAATGAGGGTGTAAAGCAGTTAATGGCTTCCTCTTCCCTGGTGGCTCAGCAGTAGAGAATCCACCCTCAGTGCAGGAGACTCTGGTTTGATATGTGGGTTGGGAAGATCCCCTGGAGAAAGAAATGGCAACCCATTCCAGTATTCTTGCCTGGGAAATCCCATGCCTGGTGGGCTGCAGTTCGTGGGGTCACTAAAGAGTCAGACAGGATTTAGTGACTAAATAACAACAAAACCTGTTAATAGCAGGGGAAAGGGAAATGAGAGAGCACATATTGGCCACTGATTGAATATGTGAGTGAAATAAGAGAACTTCAGTAGTCATAGCTGGGGTCTTAAGGCCAAGCACCTGGAAAATAGTGGTGCTAGTAAGAGAAACAAAAATGTTAGAAGAAGCAAGTTTTGGGAAGGTGATGCTTGAGTATAAATCTGTTGAGTCAGAGGTGCAGGTGATGTTCTGCGTGGCTTAGAGAAAATATTCCCCATAGGCTTCCTTTGAATAACAAATTACCTTCTGTTACTTACATCATCATGTTCTGACTACAGGCACACAGAGTAGTGAGAGGTAGCTATCCCTTTGTCATGTTCAATGTTTCATGTACTTTTTCTTTTATAACACTCAGTGTGTTTTGTTCATGTGCCTATTTTTGACTAGAGAGTCAAGGACAGTATATTATTTATCTTTTTTTGTAGAGTGCCTGGCATATCAAGGACATGCGGAAAAAGTTTGAATTGATGAAAGATTTCGTGGCTCAAAATACAGAGACCTTTTAACAAGTAATTATCTTGTTAAAAGACTGGCACTTCTTACAGGTTTCATCAACACAGTTAATAATTCTTCCACCTCTTGGTAACATGGGCATAAGTCAGCTTTTGGGATAGTTGCTAGTTTGAATCTCAACTCTCCTAGCTTACCATCTGCTCTTTTTTATTCATTTAACCATAAAATTTAACCTTTTAAAGTGTACAATTCAGTAGTTTTTAGTGTATTCATAAGGTTCTACAACCATCACCACTGTATAATTCCGTAACATTTTCCTCACCTTAAAAAAGAAACCCCTTACCCATATTTACACCCATACCCATTAACAGTCACTCCTGAGTCCCTCTTCCCTCAGCCCTGGCAACTACTAATCTACTGAACTTATTTTTATTCAAAGGAAAGAGATTTAAATGATCTAACTCTATAGCTGATTTCTTTTTTTTTAACCTTTATTTTTTTATTCCATTTTTACTGATATAAATGGCATGATTTGACTTACATACACCATGAAATGATTATCACAATAAGTCACAATAAGTTTAGTGAACATCCATCATCTCCTAAAGGTACAAAATTAAAGAAATAGAAAACAAATTTTTCCTTATGATGACAACTCTTAGGATTTATTTATTCTCTTTCATATGTAATATACAGCAGTGTCAATTATATTTATCACATGGTACCTTGCATCCCTAGCATTTATTTATCTTATAACTAGCATTTATTTATCTTATTTGTGCATTTTGACTGCTTTCAGCCAGTTTCTCCTTCTCTCCCCCCAGCCCCTCTACTTCTAGTAATGACAAATCTGATTTTTTTTTCTGAGTTTGTTTCTTTGTTTTTAAAGTGTAATTGACCTACAACACTATGTTAGTTTCTGTGACACAGCATAGTGATTCCAGATATCTGTACATTTCAAAATGATCACCAGGATAAGTCTATTTATGATCATGATCTGTTATCATACAAAGATGAAAGTGAAGTTGCTTAGTCATGTCCAACTCTTTGTGACCCCATGGATTGTATAGTCTGCTAGGCTCCTCCATCCATGGGATTCTCCAGGCAAGAATACTGAAGTGGGTTGCCATTTCCTTCTCCAGGTGATCTTCCCAACACAGGGATCGAACCTGGGTCTCCCACACTGCAGGTAGACTCTTTACTGTCTGAGCCACCAGGGGCCTGCTCACTCCATACAAAGATGCTGCATAATTATTGACTGTATTCCCCACACTGAACATTTCATATCTGTGACTCATTTATTTTGCAACTGGAAATTTGTCCCTCTTAATTTCCCTCAGCTTTCTTTCTCCCAACCCCTTCCCTTCTGGCAACAACCTGTTTTCTGTATTTATGACTGTTTTGTTACTTTTTTTTAGATTCCATATATAAGTGAAATCATACAATATTTGTTTTTCTCTATCCGCCATACTTCATTTAGCATAATACCCTCCCAGTCCATGCATGCTGTTGCAAACGGCAAGATTTTATTCTTTTTTGTGGCTGAGTAATGCTCCACTGTGTATATATACCCCACATTGTCTTTATCCATTTATCTGCTGATGAATGCTTGGGTTGCTTCCATATCTTGGCTATTGTAAATAATGTTACAATGTTTACAATACAAGTGAGCATGGGGCTGCATATATATTTTTGAATTAGTGTTTTTGTTTTCTTTAGAGAAATACCCAGGAGTGCAGTTGCTGGATCTTGTGGTAGTTCTATTTTTAATTTTCTGAGGAATCTCCATACTGTTTTCCATAGTATCTGTACCAATTTGTATTCCAATAAGGATTCCCTTTTCTCCACATCCTTACCAAGACTTGTTATTTGTTGTCTTTTTGATAATAGCCGTTCTGTGAGATGATATCTCATTAAAGTTTTGATTTGCATTTCCCTGATAACTAGTGATGTTGAACATCTTTTTATGTGCTTATTGGCCATTTGTGTACCTTCTTTGGAAAAATAATCTTTTCAGATCCTATGCCCATTTTTTGATTGGTTTGTTTTTTGATGTTAAGTTGTATGAGTTCCTTGTATATTTTGGATATCCACCCCTTATTGGGTATATTATTTGCAAATTTTTTTTTTACCATTCAGTAGGTCACCTTTTCAGTTTGTTTAGTGTCTTTCACTGTGCCGAAGCTTTTTAATTTGATGTAGTCCCATTATAGCTGATTTCTAATAATACCACCCTGCAGAGATGTATTATGTTAAAAGGAGGCAGTAATTGATTTTTCTCCTTGTAGGAAAGCACACCAGAGAGATACCATGGGGCAGACAGTGAAAGAAGGTAAGATATACTTGTCTAAAGATGATACTTTTAGTCAATCATTTGAAATTTTAGTATCTCTTGGTAGACTGAATGTTTAAAAAAAAGCTTTTTTGAAAAATTAAATAAAAAAAAAGAAAAATGAAATTAATGGAAGATGTTAGTTTAGGTGCTAAGAATTGGAGTTTTAGAACTGAGTAGCTATTAAAGGTAATCTTGTTTTTCCTTCTTAGTTTTGTAAATGAGAAAGCTGACACTCAGGGAGGTTAAGTGAACAGGTCATATAACAATCTATGACAGCCAAGATCAAAGTCCAGATTTTCTTACTTAAATATGGATGTTTAAAAAAATGCTTCATCCTGTCCTGCTCTAGTGAGAAGTCAGCTCACTGTCCCATGAGTGTGTCACAGTCATTTTCACTCTCTGTTTTGAGTTGTACTTTCTTCTTGAGTTGTACCATAATATATTCTTCATATTTTTGTTGTCCTGAATCCTGTTCCTCCTTCATGACCCAGTTTAAGTTCTCTTTCTCTCATGACTTTTACTCTGGCTGCATGCTGAATGTTGTGCTCTGCTATTTCTGTTTTTGTCAAGTGTATTAGTTTAGTATAGTCTCTGTACCTAGATTCTTAGCTTTCCTTGAACAGGAACCAGGCCTTTATAATTTCACTTTCTTCTCTGTTAGAAAATACTACTGTAGAACTATTTAGTAAATATAAATGTGTACTTACTTCATATTAGTCAAATTATTTAAATAGAAAGTAGCCCATACATCCCTCTTGAGTGTTCACATATCTTGAAGAGTCAGTCATAACCAGAAAGTAGATCTGATACCTTTAATGGTACACCTGGCATCCTTTCTATATTCTTCTTTAAGAAGCATGTCACTTGACAGTTCAAGCCTCAGTAAGGGTAAAATAGCACTAGATGGAAACATACCATGTTATTAAATCCATTGGTTCATAACGATACTAAAAAAAACAAAACAATACTTATTGGTCATCTGTGGAGAATGGTGGGGATACAATTCATTATTTTGAAAACTAGAAAATAAAGGAGAAATAATAAAGCATTGACTGTGACTTCCTTTTGTGGTCTCTACCTCAGAGCAACTGAATGGTTGAATAGGGGAGTTTTCTCTCATAGAAGTTTTCTGGCTAATAAAGACAGGATGATAAAATTAGAATACCTCCATTATGCAACCTGGAGAAGGAAATGGCAACCCACTCCAGTACTCTTGCCTAGAAAATTCCATGTAGCCTGGTGGGCTACAGTCCATGGGGTTGCAAAGAGTCAGACACGACTGAATGACTTCACATTATACAACCACTGATGAGCTAATGGATCTAGGCAATAGTCATATGTGGCTGCTCATATCACAAAAGAGAACTAGGTATATTAGGAACCTCCTGTGAGAAGTACACACCACCACCTATGAAGTCATTTTCTCTCTTCCTTGCAAAAAAGCTAAACCTGAATCTGGTTAAGCTCTTCTGGCTTGAAATAGCTGTATCAATTTAGAGAAACTATAAGGACCAGAAGAACCCAGTATCATGAGGAAGTAGCAGACTATAGACTGGAAAAGTCTGAACTGATATCACCAGCAAAATTATTGCTAGAGGAAGGGAAAATAGACAGAGGAAGAGGAGCCTACAGATCAAAAGAAATTTAAGAAATGTACCTACCACTGTCTGTATGGACTTTATTTGGGTCCTGATTGAAACAGATATATTTAAAATATTTAAGACAACAGGGAAGTTAAGAAGAGTGACTGCTTATTTGATAATATTGAAGATTGTGGTTAGTTTTTCAGCATAATAATCATAATGAGTCACTTAAGAAATACATACTATAATAAATGTGGATGAAATATATCTTAGATTTGGTGAAGTTCCAAGGTCCAGTGCTGTTTGAGCTCCTCAGCCTAGCACAGAGAAAAACTTTTCCTAGTCTGTTGAAGGACAGGGAACCCTGGTGTGCTGCAGTCCATGGAGTCACAAAGAGTCAGACACAACTACATGACTGAACAACAAACAGTCCGTTGAATTACATTGTATTCTAGCTTCTCTGTTGTTTTAAATTCTCAAAAGTATGCACTTTATTGCTGGGACACATTAATCTGAATATTGTAAGGATCAGCTCAGCTCATTTTGGTTTGTTCATTTATTTAACAAATGTTCAAGAATGTTCTGTGTGCCGAGTCCTTTTCTGGGCACTGAGGATAAAAAGTAGTGAATAAGAGACAAAATGAAAAAATTTCTGACCTTTTGGAGCTGACATTTGAGTGAAATGAGACATGCAGTAAACAAACAAATTATAAAGTACATTATATATTAGAAAGTGAAGTCCTATGCAGAAAGTGAGGATATAATTATAAAACTAAAACTGCTTCCTATTAGAAAATACAGTTTAGGTTTTTGTAAGTACTCTTTCAAACTGTTGCTCTGTTCTTCTGGTATTGCTCACTATTTTCTTTCTTTTTTTTTAAAGAGTCAATGGATGTAAAGAAGGAGAATCAAGAGAGAGCTCCTCAATCAGGCACATCTTCTGTGCAAAATGGTAGGTTTTAAATTAGTTCAGTAGAACATATATTTCTTCTTCGCTCAGTGTTAGTATGAACTCCTTTCTTATTGCTTTTGGTATAATCTATGTATAGTAAGCTCTTATAAATATAAAATCTAAGCAATAGGAAAGACCAAAAAGATAGTATTTAATTTTGAAAATTTTACTTTGGTTTCACATAGAGAGGGATTAAGTTAAAAGATAACTATGTATTTCAGTGCAATTTTGCCAAAGTAAAGATATCTAGTTATTAATTACCATGTATTACCAATTTAAAATAATTTGATTTTTAATAAAAACCTTTCTAACACTAGAGTCAGTGTGAATGTCTTTTTTGATGGTCAAAAGACAGTCATGTGGATTAAAGCTTAGGCATTTGGGGGATCTGACAGACCTCTTCTAGAATCTTGGCCTCATTTTTTACTAGCCTTGTGACCTTGGGCAAATTACTCAATGTTCTTAGTCTCTCTTTTCGCCTGTGTAGCACAAGGATAATAACTACTTACTCACGGAACTATTAGAATTAAAGAAAAGGAATGTAAAGCACCTAATATACTGCCTAAGCTTGTAGTAAATGTTCAGTAAATGTTAACTTTATTGTCTGAGTTATTAATTCATGTTTTAAGCTTTTATTGTTAATAGCATGTGTATAGCACTATATCAGTGACTCAGGAGATAGACTCTGACCCATTGCACCTGCTCTTATGGAAAATGAGGAAATAAGTCATACGCAGACAAAAGGCTGAATTAAAAAAAATACAATAGCAAACTTAGTGTGTTTACCAGCGATTTCCAGGCAAGCCTCTTGCCCCTTGTGTTTCTGTTGTGCCTCCCCTGCAAAGCCCCACTCTTGGAGTAAGTAGTTCATCCATGACTTTCTGTTCCTATGAAAAGATTGCCTGTAGCGGAGTCATTCTTTATTACTGTAGCTGGGTCCTCAGTGTTTCCTTACTTCTCTTTTTCATTGGCCTTACTTGTTCCTCAGCTCTTCCTTCCAGTCCCCAAAACTCTCCAAGGAAATGGAGGCTGTTAGGTTAGAGTGCTCTTCCTCATCCTTACAAATTCCTTTCCATTTTTTAATATAATAGTTTTATTGAGATATAATTCACATACCATACAATCTCCCCATTTAAAGTATACAGTTCAGTGGTTCTCAGTAGTGTATTCCCAGAGTTGTGTAACCATCACCATGATCAGTTTTAGAATATTTTTATCACCCTACAAAGCAACCCTAGTACCTAGCTAGTAGTCACTTTCCATTTCCTCACAGTGCCTCTCCCTAGGCAACCATTTACCTTCTTTCTATCTATAGATTTGCCTATTCTGGAAATTTCATGAAAATCAATTTGAAGAATATATCCTTAAAAGTTGAAACTAGTAACTTTTCAAAATTTTCAAACTTTTCTGTTTGAGAAACTCTGATTAAAAATGAGATTACTTAGTCAAATTGACAGACATTTGCAGATTTCTCAGCGTCCTGACCCTAACATCTTATTTTAGAAATCAGTGAGTGACTACTAGAAGGTAAGCTCCAGGAGAGCCAGGGTATTTGTCTGTTTTATTAACTGCTGCATCTGCAGTACCTAGTATAGTGCCTGGCAGATACTGGTGACCTTGTATGGGAGTCCAGTAATGAATAAGACAAACACGATTCCTACGGTCTTTGAGCTTGCGTGCATGTGTGTTCAGTTGCTTTGAGCTTTGGTAGACATTAAACAAATGTCCAGTTATAGTTGTGGTAAATACTATAAAGTAGTGGGTGCTGATCATTCAGCTGAGAAGCTTCAAGCTCTAGATACTTTCCTCATTTTCTTTACATAGCCTCTGAACCCAAGCCTAGCACTGGTGGAAGACATTGTGATTCTGATTTACTCTGGAGAAGAATAGGGGGCCTCATAGATTATGTTCATTTTGCTAAAAGGGGTTTGGGCTAGTGTATGGACTAGAATAGATTGCAAATCAAACAAGAAGGACCGCAGACATGTGCAAGCAACAAGCAGATCACAACATTATGTACATCTGTCTCAAGAAAAGGCCTATCAGTTCCCAGGGCTCTTTTCTGAAAGAGTAAATCCCCATCCCCCCAACCCTAGCTGCTCATCTGTCAGTGAGGATAAAAATGCAGAGACAAATAGGGACTTCAGGCTTGTCTGCTACTTTCTGAACTATTTTGGTCAGGAATTCTCACTGTGGTATTGTAGATGTATCAAATCTAAATTAGTAAAGCCTTTTGCTATGTGTGTTTCCACTATATTTTTGGTAGACTGTCATCATATGGGCATCCAAGCTGAATAGTGTTGTGGACTAAGAATTTTTGCCTCATGAACAAAGAAAAAAATTAAGGCTCCAAAGGTTACATTAACTAGCAGTGCGATAGAAAGCACTTATATTATATAGCATTGGTATAAAGGATTTGCTAGCTCAAATTATAGCCCATTATTGCTGGGAGAAATAGCAATAACCTCAGATATGCAGATGACACCACCTTTATGGCAGAAAGTGAAGAAGAACTAAAGAGCCTCTTGAAAGTGAAACAGGGAGAGTGAAAAAGTTGGCTTAAAGCTCAACATTTAGAAAACTAAGATCATGGCATCCAGTCCCATCACTTCATGGATGGAAAAGACCCTGATGCTGGGAAAGATTGAGGGCAGGAGGAGAAAGAGACGACAGAGGATGAGATGGTTGGATGGCTTCATTGACTTGGACATGGGTTTGGGTGGACTTCAGGATTTGGTGATGGACAGGGAGGCCTGGCATGCTGCAGTTCATGGGGTCGCAAAGAGTTGGACACGACTGAGCGACTGAGCTGAACTGACTGACTGAAGACACAAATGGTAATAGAATATTTTAAACATTGTCTTAGATTAATTATTTTCCAGTGTCACTAAAAAATTTTACAAATGTAACTGATTTGTGGAAAAGTCTTAAGTTCTTTGAGGTCTAATTGTGAAATAGCTTTGATTTCTCAGTTATTATTTCCAACTTATACTCCTTTCATCCTGGTATGGTGGCTCTTTAATTACATCCTAGTCAGATTTCCACCCCCCCCATTCATGTTTTGTTTTCTTTTTCTTTTTTTTAATGCTCTTCAAGATCATATGGTGGTAGAGCTTCAGTTAGAACCTTGGGTCTCTTGATTGTCAGGTTAGTGCTTATGAGGTCACTGAAGTAACCTGGTCAATTAAATTTTGGAGCCATGGATCTCAGTTTTCACTTTTAATATAGCTATCCAGTATTCTGTTTAGGCACAACTATGATGTTTCAGTTCAGTTCAGTTTCTCAGTCATGTCTGACTCTTTGTGATGCCATGGATTACAGCATGCCAGGCTTCCCTATCCATCACCAACTCTCGGAGCTTGCTCAAACTCATGTCCATTGAGTCAGTGATGCCATCCAACCATCTCATCCTCTGTTGTCCCCTTCTCCTCCTGCCTTCAATCTTTCCCAGCATCAGGGTCTTTTCAAATGAGTCAGTTCTTC